TAGCTAGCTATCTAGCTAGCTAGCTAGCTGCTTACCTAGTAAGGGCCAGGCCTTGCTGCTCTCCGGCTCCCACTTCTTCGTGCTGCCGTCGGGCAGCGGCGAAGAACTGAGGCGCTCTCGCCTCCAGCCCCACCTGAAGCAAAAAGTGGAAATAAATAAAAATTAAATTTATATTTGAATTTAAAATTGATTTTTTTAAATTCTTAAATTAAATTAAAAGAACCTAAACAATAAATTAATGACATCAGCTTCGAGCTGCGCAGGGCAGGATACAGCCAGCTAGTTAGCCGTCTGGCTAGCCACCTAGCTAGCCACCTAGCTAGCCAAATAGCTAGCCAAATAGCTAGCCAACTAGCTAGCTATTTCTGTATCCAACTAGCCAGCTATCTGCCGAGCTGGCTAGCTGTCCAACGAGCCACGTAGCTAGCCTGGCATGTGGCTACGAAGCTAGCTAGCCATTTAGCTATCTATCTAGACAGCTTGGTAGCTGGCTAGCTAGCTGGCTAGCTAGCGAGCCAGTGCTGGCACACACGCAGCTGCAGCGATGCACAGGCAGGAAAAGGGAGCCCCCTAGGGGCCTCAGAGGGCATTGGGGGCCCCTCGGGCCCCAAAAGAAGGGGGCCCCATGCCTTTTGGGGGCCCGAAGGACCCTCCTGCGTGTCTGGGGGCCCCCGCAGGAAGGGCCCCCAGAAAGTACCCAGCAAGCGGCTTAGGTGCTTCTAAAGAGGCATTATTTAGCTGTTTTGGGGGCCCTTTGAGGGACCCTTGGGGGCCCCGTGGAGGCCCCTCTGGAGCCCCTTGAGGGAATTCGTGGGGGCCCCTTTTGCTAACCCTACAAGGGCCTTTTGCGGCGCCGTTGATGAACCCTTTAGGAGCTTCTTAGGGGCACACTGAGGGCCCCTGTGGCGTTCTCTTGGGCTTCAGGGGACCCTGGGGGCCCCTTTGGGGGCCCCTTTGGGGGCCCTTTGGGGGCCCCTTGGGGGCCCCTCCGGGACCCCTTTGGGTGTGGTGGAGTTACCTGGGTACAAAGACGTCCGTCCTCTGGTGTCTGTACAGCCCGCGTTTGAGGTAGCGCTGCCCGGGGCCCCACGGGAGGCCTGAAATAGGATATATGCCGCCTCTGTGGCCCCCCCGAGGCATGTTTGGGGAGTTTTTGAAGGAAAAAAGGACAAAAAGAAGACCCAAGGGACCTCGGCTCTACCCCGGAGGCTGCATGCGAAGTTCAGCTGCAAAAAGCAAGAAAAAAAGAAGTCCTGGGGGCCCCCAGGGGCCCCCGGGGGCCTCTAGGTCGCAGCCAGCCGCTCTGGGGGCCCCCAGGAGGGGAGCGGGGGTTCGGTTGGGGCCCCTGGCGGTTTATTTGCGTTGTTTTGTAGTAAATAAATAAAAATAAAACACATTTTGGGGTTTAAATTGGTTTTTTGTTTGTTTTCCCGAAGATTTTTGTGTATTAATAGTGCGAAGTTCGCTTCCGAATTCTGTCGTCGTTGGGTGTCGATACACAGCAGACGAAACCCATGACGCTTCGGGTCTGGCCTCACCTCCTAATTATTTCATTACTTTTGAATAGTTTTCATTTTCATTTTAGGGCTTTAGAATCCCCGCGGTTGTTCTCTGATTTCCCTGTTTTTTTCGATTTGTGCCGGCTGGCTCTGCGGTGTACGTACACCACAACTGCAGCTGTTGCTGCTGCTGCTGCTGCTGCGGCTGCGGCTTGTGCTGCTGCGACGGACTCGCTGCAGCAGCAGCAAAACACAGCTGCTGCAGCAGCTTCAAAGGGGGCGGCGGATTTGGCAGCAAAAGGAGGAGGCAACAGAATTGAAAGAGCGACAAAAGGAGATAAAAGAGGAGGGAAAGATAGAAGAAAACAGATTAAAAAAAGAAAAGAAAAGAAAGGGAAATAAAAGCAAAAAAACCAAACCCCACAAATTCAAAAGGCCCTCAGGGGACTTAGTCTGAATTTGCGTTTTATATTCTGCTTGTCTCTTAGCCTCAAGTCTTTTCTTCTTTTGTTCCTTTTTATTCTTCCTTATTCTTTTTTATTTATTTATCCCTTTTTGGTTTTTCCCCCTTTTTGTTTCTGTTTGTCCGTTTTCTCTTCGGATTCGTTTGACTCTTGCTGTTTCTTACTTTTGTCTTTTGTCTTTTAAATTATTTTTTTATCCTTCTATATTATTTGTGGCTTTTTTCTTTTTTCTTTTTTTCTTTTTTTGTGTTTTTGTCTTTTTATTGTCCTGTTTCTCCGCGTTTTGTTGTGTATCTTTCTGGCCCGTTTCTGTTTAAATCTTTTGTTTTATTTGTCCTTTATTTCTTTCTATTTCTTTTATTTCCTTTTACTTCTTTTTATTTCTTATTATTTCTTTATACTTTTAAAATGAATTCTTTTTTCTCTTTGGCGCTGCGGGCCTTTCTAATTGTAGCTGTCAGTACAGCGCAGCCGTTGCTGGTCGATTTGGCCCGGAGCCACGGAGCAGCTGATGTGGGACTTTTTATTATTTAATTTTAAAATTAAATTCATTTTTATTTTATTTTAATTAATTTAATTCAATTAAAGAACAAACATTTTACATTTTGCTAAACAAGACGCTGCAGTTCTTTTCCTTTATCTTTTGGTTTCTTTTCTGTCTTTTTTATTCCTTTTTGCCCTTTTAAACTGGGAACTTCTTCCCGTTTTACTTTTATTTTTTTCCTTTATTTTTGATCTATTTAATTCCCGTTAAGCTTTTGCCCTTCTTTTTCGCCTCTTCGGGCTTATGAGTCCTTTATTTAATTTCTTCTTTTTACTTTTCATTTTTTGTTTCTGGTTTTTGCCATTGCTGCTTTCAGACTCTCCAAATATTTTTGTCCCCTTTTAGTTTTGCTTTTCTTTTGTTTTATGTTTCTTCGATTGAATCTGGAAACAATCTTTTAAAGCTTTTAAATGCTTGAATGCACTTAAGATGGTATTTACATGCTTAGAGACATTTAAGTTTGTACTTAAATGCTTCAACACATTTACATTCTTATCCAAATTATTAAAAATGTTGAAAGCGTATTTAAATATAAAAAATCCTGAGAACATCAACACTGAAATGCTTCGTCACATTCAAGCTCGCTTTTCAATGCCTAAAAGCGTTCTAATTCGAATTTAAACGATTAAAAACTTAAACTGCATATTTAAATGTTGAAAACATTAAACTTCACATTTAAATGCATAAAGTGATGTGAGTTTAAATTTAAAAGATTGGAAACGTGAAAATTCACGAATTTGAATGTTTCGTTTTTCTCTGCGCGCCTGCTGCGGGGTGTACGTACAGCCGAGCTGCTGCTTCTTTGTTTTGCCAGTTTTTGTCTCCATGCTTTTAATTGGATTTTTTATTTGCAAAAAAAAGGAGACACTTTCTAGGAGACAGTGGCTGCAAGCAGCTTTGATTTGTCTCGTTGATTTGGCCCATCATGTTTTAGAAAAGGGTGACAGTTTAATTTAATTTCCTTTTTTAACTCTAAGTTCAATTTTTCTTCCCTTCTTTTTCAGACTTTTGCGCCCTCTCTCCCAATTTTCTGTCTTCTCTTTTTTCTTTTTTGTCTCTTCTGTTTTCGTTTCTTGTCCTTTTGTGTCGTGATGTCTTTTCTCTTTTTTATTTTCTTCCCTTTTCTTTTTCTCTTCTTTGGCTCCTTTGCCTTTTTTGGATTTCCTCCTCTCCCCTCGTTCTAGTTTTCCGCCTTTTTATCTTTTTTATGTTTTTCCTTTCTTGTTCTCCTATGCCCGTCTTTATTATTCTTATATTTTTGTCTTCATTTATCTCTTTTTGCCTTTTCCCAATCATTTTGGCCTTTTATCTTTTTGTTTTACAATTCCTTTTAGCTCTCCTGGGCTTTTTGTCTGTGGGAGGCCAGCGCGGATTAGCGGCTCTGTCTGTCTCTGTCTAAAATAATTGAATTTATCTTTTAAATTGTTTTTTGTAATTTATAAGAGCACTTATTTCGGAACTTATTTTTTTCCCTGTCTTTTTCGTTTCTGCAGCTGGCCTAGTCTACGCTGGCAGCTCTTTGTACCTCATGGCAGTTTCCTTGTCTCTTCTTTGGGTCTCTCTGCTTTCTTTTTTCATTCTAAACAAAAGACTGAGACCCAAACAAATCACAGGATTAGTACTGGTCACTGTGGCCTTTCTTCTTCGCATTGCACAGCTCCAGGGGGCCCCTAACCCCCAAGGGGGCGCCTTGGGGCCTCGGGGAACCCTAGAACCTGGGGGGCCCCCCAAAGCGCCCCCGCGGGCCTTTGAATCTGGGGCGCCCCCTAAGAGGCCCCCGGGGCCCCTGGATCCTCAGGGGGCCCCCCAAGGGCCTCCTGGGCCCCCAGAGGTACTAGGGCCCTCCAGCGCGCCTGAGGCGAAGTCCTCGCAGAAGGGCCTGGGAGGTTCAGGGCCCCAAGGGGCCCCTGCGTCGCAGGCAGTCCTAGGGGCCCCGGAGTCCTCAGGGCCACACGGGCCCCAAGGGATACAAAGAAACCCAGGTACCCCAGGGGCCCCTGGGGGCCCCGGGCTGTTGGGGGCCCTTGGGGCCCAAGGGGCCCAGGAGCTCTTTGGTGTTTGTCTTGTTACGGTGGCGCAGATTCTTGTAAGGCAATCAGAGGCAAGATTTGCGTCATGTTTAATTCAAATTTAATTTTGGGTCTTTGTCTTTTTTGTTACCTTATTTACTTCCCTGTCTCTTTCTATTTCCCTCTTTTGTTTTACCTTGTTCTTCCTTTCCCCTATTCTCTTTGTTATGTTTTGCCCTTGCCCCACTCTGATTGTTGAGCCTTAGCACAGTCTATGTGCTTCAGGATTTAGGGTTTAGGGTTTAGGGTTTAGGGTCTAGGTTTTAGTGTTTAGCTTCCGCGGCTGTCTCTCCATCGCTGCTTTTTTATGTCGCTTCCGTTGTTCGCTTTCTTTACCTCTTAAGGTTTTTTCTGAGTGTGTCTGGGTCGAGTCTGTGTCAAGGCAAGAAGATGATAAATCTCAACTAAAATGCAATTAAATTATTAGTATTTTCCTTTATTTCTCTTTGTTTACTTTCACACGCGCAGCACGGCCTTGCCTTCGTCTTGAGCGAGAAATATATGAAAGACAGAAGACACAGAATAGAAGGGCCCCAACTAGTTTATATGTGTGGGTGAGCATAATATACAGGAACACAGATTCCTGTGGGGCCCCTGTGGGGCCTCACAGGGACCCCACAAGGCTCCAGAGGTGCTTCATAGAGGGCTCTTGGGGCCCTTATAGGGGCCCTACTGGGGCCCCACAGGGGCCTTCAGAGGGGCCTCAAGCGGGATCCTAGAAGGCCTTAAAAGGGCTTTTGAAGAGTTCCCAGGGGGCTCCCATTGGGCCCCGCTGAAATCCCTGAAATGCTCCCAGGGGGCCCCTCTGGGGCCTTTGTAGTACTCAAAAGGCGCCTGTAAAAGATGGGCAACCCTAAGCGCTAAGTTAAACCCTAAACCCTGAACCCTAATGCAGAAGTCCTGCTTGGGGTCTAGAATAGGGCCCCATGGAGCCTCACAAATAAGGATTTAGCGCCTAATAAGAAGCGCATGAGCCTTCAGATAAGTCCCAATCGGGTTCTTCAGTGGCCTATACTATAGGGGCCCCCACTCTAGGGGCCCTCTAGAGGCCCCCAATCTAGAGGCCCCCACTTCGGGTTCCAATGGGGACCCTGAAGAGCCGTCTGGGGGTTCCTGGGGGGGCTTGAATAAACCCCCCAAGGAGCCCTTGGAGGCCCTCAAGGGGCCCCTAGGAGGTCTTCAGGGGGCCCTCAAGACACCCTGAGGGTTTGCAGGGTTTTGATTAAGGGGCTGTGCTCTCGGCGGTTTGCATGAGGCCATCAGGGGCCTCCAGACCCGAAGAGTCGCTAGGGGGCCACTAGATGTTTAGGGTTTAGTTAAGCACTGAAAGGAATCATAACTGTAAAGAAAATATGCCGAGCTGGAACCTAATTTGTAGAGCCTAGGGCAGCAAAGAGTAATGCCATTAAAGCCTCCGAATTGCTGCTGCTGTTCTTTGCTTTTCTTAGGGTGATAAACACTGCTGCTCTGCTGCTGTGGACTTCTGTGTGGACTGTGCCGCGCTGGGATCGACTGGTGGACGATCCCAGGAAGCGAAGAGGCGGCTCCTTAGGGGTAAGTGTGA